GGTTCGCCCAACGCTGGCGACGTGCTGCTGGAGCTGGTGGTGCTGCAGGAGCTGGGGGTTCTACTGCTGCTGAGAGTGCTGGTGCCGAGGGTCCCAGAGGTGCTCGTACCGAGTGTACTGGAGCTGCTGACCCTACGAGTGCTCCTCCTGCTGGAGCTGGTGGTGCTGCTGGTGTTGCTGGCGCTGGAGCTGCTGGTGCTGCTGGAGCTGCTGGTGCTGCTGGTGCTGCTGGTGCTGCTGGTGCTGCTGGTGCTGCTGGTGCTACTGGCGTTGGTGCTGCTGGAGCTCCTGGAGCTGGAGCTGCTGCGTCTTCGGGTGGTCCGGCTGGAGCTGGAGCTACTGGGGGTGTTGGCGCTGGGGGTGCTCCTGGCGCTGGTGCTGCTGGGGGTGCTGGAGTTGGAGCTGCTGGAGTTGCGGGTCTTCCTGGTGCTGGTGCTCCCGCTGGGGGCGCTGGTGCTGTTCCTGCTGGCACTGGTGGAGCTGCGCGGCCGCGGCCGTACTTCGTTCCGCTCCTTGAGCAGGTTCTTGGTCTTCCGTCCTCTCTTGGTCCTGCTCCTGCCTTAGAGTGTCCGCCTCCTGTCCAGTCTGAGTCACAGTTACAGCCACCTTCCCCGCTTCCTTCTCCTTCTCCCTACACTGGTCCTACTGGAGGTCTTGCTGAGCGTCGTGAGCCTGCGTCTCGCCCTGCGTCGCCTGTCCGTGCTGCTCGCACTAGTGGTCGTGGTTCGCGTCAGCGTCCTCCCCCTGTCCCCGGCACGCACCGGATGTCTCTGCGTCCTTCCACTGCTCCGCTGCGTGCCCCTTTGCCCTCTCCTCCAGCGTCCTCTCTTCCTGAGCTTCCTGACCCGGAGTCGGACTCCCTTCGTGCTGCGCGTCCTACTGTCACGCGTCTCCTTGCTACTGTCGTCACTGACCCTTCCTTTGAGTCTACTGCTGCGTCTGCCCTAGTTGCTGAGCTTGTCGACTTCGCTGCTCGCTGTCGCCTAGACTACGCTACCAGTCTCGTCGCTGAGTCTGAGTTTGTCTGTCCTCCGTCCGTCGGGGGTGAGTGTGCTCTTGGCACGGACGTCCTAGAGGACAGGCAGGAGGAGTTCCAGTGCTTGGCTGCTGTTTCACCTCATCTCGTGTCCATGCTGCTTGCCCCTGAGGGAGACCCGGATGCACTTGACATCCCGACTCCGCGCTCTTACGCGGAGGCGATAGAGGGTCCCTACTCCTCTCAGTGGCAGGCAGCCATGGACGCAGAGATGGCTTCCTGGAAGTCCACAGGCACCTACGTTGACGAGGTTCCCCCGCCTGGGGCGAACATCGTCAGTGGCATGTGGATTTTCAGGGTGAAGCGGCCGCCGGGTTCTCCGCCTGTCTTCAAGGCGCGTTACGTGGCTCGTGGTTTCAGTCAGCGGCAGGGAGTTGACTACTTTCAGACTTTCTCCCCCACCCCGAAGATGACCACTCTTCGGGTACTGCTGCACATAGCTGCTCACCGAGACTACGAGCTGCACTCTCTTGACTTCAGCACTGCTTTCTTGCAGGGCAGCCTTCACGAGGAGATCTGGCTGCGCCGCCCACCTGGCTTCACTGGGACGTTTCCTCCTGGCACCCAGTGGAGCCTCCGGCGGCCAGTCTACGGTCTCCGCCAGGCGCCTCGTGAGTGGCACGACACACTGAGGACTACACTTGCGGCCCTTGGGTTTGCTCCTTCTACTGCCGACCCGTCGCTGTTTCTGCGCACCGACACTTCTTTGCCGCCGTTCTACATCCTCGTGTACGTCGACGACTTGGTCTTTGCTACAGCTGACACTGCTGGACTTGCCTACGTGAAGTCCGAGCTGCAGAAGAGACACACGTGCACAGACCTGGGTGAACTGCGCAGCTACCTTGGCTTGCAGATCACCAGGGACAGAGCACAGCGCACCATTACCCTGACTCAGTCACATATGGTGCAGCAGGTCCTTCAGCGCTTCGGCTTCACGTACTCCTCGCCTCAGGCCACTCCTCTGCCTACGCGCCACTCGCTCTCAGCTCTGCCTTCGGATGAGTCCGTAGAGTCGAGTGGCCCGTACCCAGAGCTTGTCGGCTGCCTCATGTACCTGATGACCTGCACTCGACCTGACCTTGCATACCCTCTTAGCATTCTGGCACGCTTTGTTGCTCCTGGGAGACACAGACCAGAGCACATGGCTGCAGCGAAGAGGGTGTTGCGCTACTTGTGCAGTACGTCGGGCATGGGGCTTGTGCTTGGAGGGCATAGTTCAGTGGTCCTCACTGGTCACGCAGACGCTTCTTGGGCTGACGACCAGGCTACGCAGCGGTCGTCACAGGGTTACACCTTCAGCCTTGGTTCCGGCTCTGTTTCTTGGCGGTCTACCCGCTCGTCTTCTGTTCTCGGCTCCAGTTGTGAGGCTGAGATCTACGCAGGGGCCATGGCTGCACAGGAGCTACGCTGGCTCACCTACCTGCTGACTGACCTGGGAGAGCCGCCTCGTTCTCCTCCAGTGCTGTACGTAGACAACAAGGCCATGCTGGCCTTGTGTCATGAGCACAGACTGGAGCACAGAACGAAGCACATCGCTCTCCGCTACTTTCTTGCTCGTGAGCTGCAGCAGCGTGGTCAGTTGCGCCTTGCTTACGTGGCCTCTGAGGCCAACACTGCTGATATCTTCACTAAGGCACTCGCGCCTTGTGATCATCAGCGCTTCTGCACTCTGTTAGGTCTTGTACCTACCTTGCCTCACTTGCTTACTTCTTGACCTTGCTTGTACTGTTACATATATATACCTACATATATATATATGTGACCTTGCATGTGAACTGGCCTTGTGGCCTTGAACTTGTGCTCAGACTGTGTGGTGACGTTGTGATCCACCCTGAGCTTGCTTTGCCTTGCTTTGCTTGACTGGTCTTGTGACCCCTTGTTCTCCCCCACTTTGCCTATGGGGGTGTGTCAAACTTATACACTATAGTCTGTGTAGGCTGTAGTGGGGTAGCTCATATGGGGTACAACATTCTAGGGTTTGGTACTTGTACTCCTCATGCTGCTCAATGCATTCATTCTCGTTCCAATTGTCACACACTGTGCGTTCTGTTCATGTAGCAGTCAGAGGGTTTTTTGTATCTCTAGGCATGTCGACCTCTACGACATGCCTAGAGATACAAAAAACCATCTGACTGCTACATGAACGGAACGCACAGTGTTATATAGGTATAATGGCAAAACGCCGGTAGTGACAACGTCTCTCAAATTTATTAATATAGTTTTATATCAATAAAACATATCACACACATATGCGAGCATCACATATGCGCGTTCATATAGGTAAATGCGCGGTTTTATATGAGCGCGATCTTACATGACCGCGTCTGATTGGACGCGCAAGGTCAAAAAGTGCTTCGCGCATAAAGTTGACGAATCAGGCTCACTCTGTATATTGGTCGCGCGTATGGACAGCCGTGCAACTGAGTATATGATCGGGGAATCATATCACTATGCGCGGATTGGTCACGATTAGGACCGAAAATGAGCGCGAATGTTCGCCAAAATGATCGTGACGTGGCCGCCCTCGCGCACGTCACCCAACCGAAATTTTCGGGCGGAAAATAGTACGCCACGTTTTCGCGGGAAGAGACACTTTCGATGTAAGAATTTCAGGGCTAGAAACCCTTTCTGGGTTATGTGCCGTATAAAAAAAAGGCCAGAGGAAACCTCTGGCAAGACCACTCGAGCAATTATCATCGAATTGTCTGACTACGGTAGCAATTCGAGGCCAAGTGTGCAACGGCAAATCACCAAACACGGGTCTGGAGAAATTCTTCTACGTATTCTCGCCATGATTCCAAGAACCGCGCTTCACGCTCCCTTCGCCCTCGTTTCCCTCACGCTGCCCCAATTTCTTCCTGTCACTCTCTGAGGTGGTAGACGGTCGTTTTCCTTCACCTTTCGCCGCCATCCCAGCACCGTGCTTGCTACCCCTTCGCCAGCAGCAATCACTATCGGATGTCTGTGTGTTCCGCTCAACAGCACTAGGTTCTGCAGACACCCGCACATACACCCGCACACGTAGTCGCCGCAGCCACGCGAACTTCTCTCACATATTCGTGGTACAACCAAAATGTTGCACTCTCATATTTGATTCGTGGACGTATAGGGGTCAGCTTAGAATCAGCACCCGTTATTCTCAGCGTACTACTAATAATGGTTCTGCTACTGCATCATCAGCACCACATGGTGGTGTTAGTGGCGTGGTAGTGTCATCAGCACCTGTTGTTCTCAGCGTACTACTACTTGTAATAATGGTTCTGCGACAGCATCATCGGCGAGCAGCAACAGCCACGGGAAACCAATAGTAGTACGACGGGACGTTTCTAGGTCAGCTTAGAATCAGCACCTGTTGTTCTCACTCAGCGTACCACTACTTGAAATAGTGGTATTGCGACAGCATCATCAGCACCACCGATTGCACGACGACCAGCATCAGCAACGGTGGCGGCAGCAGCAGTGTCACGAGTCTTCCCGCGTGCCGCGTCATCCTCGGTCATCTCGGACGCGGAGCAGTCGAACACGATTGCATCCAATCGACGCCTAAACTGAGCACATCGACGTGGCGACGAGAAACGCGATTAGAACAGGCCACGTCATGCAACCAGAGCCAAAGAATTTCACAGCCGCGACACCACTCGCGTACTGTGCGACTCGAAACAAACCCGCCACCCACTCGGGCTCCAGTCGCGCCGTCAACTCGGGAAATTCATGACCAACGCTCTGACGAATTGCCGCACGAACAGCAGCGGCATGGTCGCGGGTCAACGTGATTTCGCCGCATTGGAGGCCTGACTCGAAGCCGGGGAGATTCATGACCATCATCCACATTTGCAAGGTGATTGACAAGTACTAAATGTTCCAAACCAAAATCAACACAGCCATCCCATATACACAAAGTATATACCATTCATTTGACTTCCCTCCTACCCCGAACACGCAAATCAAGGTTCACAGAACCACTCTAAAACGGAGTGGACCCAATGATATTCCCTCGGGGCGAATAATCACACACCCACATGCCACCCCCATCAGGGCACTGCGCTTTCGCACACCTCACAAGAATCATCCCACCCCACACCACCTGCGTGTCATGCCCGCACATCCTCCCCTCTGCACACCCCTCGGGCCTACACTCCATTATCTCCGCCATTGTCGCCGGCCCCGTTGCCCCCATTGTAATCACCATGGTCACCATCGTTGCCGCTATTGCCGTTGTAGTCACCACCGTTTTAGTCACCACCGTTGTAGTCGCCACCGTTGTAGTCCCCACCGTTGTAGTCACCACCGCCGTTGTAGTCACCACCGCCGTTGTAGTCACCACCGCCGTTGTAGTCACCACCGCCGTTGTAGTCACCACCGCCGTTGTAGTCACCACCGCCGTTGTAGTCACCACCGCCGTTGTAGTCACCACCGCCGTTGTAGTCACCACCGCCGTTGTAGTCACCACCGCCGTTGTAGTCCCCACCGCCGTTGTAGTCCCCACCGCCGTTGTAGTCCCCACCGCCGTTGTAGTCCCCACCGTTGTAGTCCCCACCGTTGTAGTCCCCACCGTTGTAGTCCCCACCGTTGTAGTCCCCGCCGTTGTAGTCCCCACTGTTGTAGTCCCCATCATGGTTCGCGCCGTGCGCCCTGCTCCTGTGAATAGCCACATCCGTGGCTGTTGCCATGTGAAACTGCTGTGCCTTGTCGAGCCCACTCGCACGTTTCACACCACGGTTCGCGCCGTGCATCCCGCTCCTGTGAATGGCCACATCCCTGGCTGTTGCCATGCGAAACTCCGGTGCCTTGTCGAGCCCACTCGCACGGTTCACACCACGGTTCGCGCCGTGAGTCCCGCTCCTATTAATAGCCACATCCGTGGCTGTTGCCATGCGCAACTGCTGTGCCCTGCGGAACCCAGTGCGCTGATTGTCTCCAAGCTCCCGGCCATTGTTGTTGCTGAAGCGAGATACACGTGAGGGTGCTTCCTTCACAGTGCTGCCCTGAGTCCCGCTCCTGTGAATGGCCACATCACTGCTTGTCGCCATGTGAAACTGCTGTGCCTTGTGCAACCCAGTGTGCTGATTGTTGCGAGGCTCCCAGGCACGATCGATGGCGAAGTGAGCCAGGCGGGACGATGCTCCCTTCACATCGCCATGAGTCCCGCCCCTTCCCTGTCCCATGCTTCTCCCATTCCTACCCGTGCTGCTGCTCTCCCTCCCATGCCAGTTGACTGCATCATTTTCGTCGTCGTTCTCATCATCGTCGTCCCCCTCGTCGTCCCTCTCGTTGTCCCGCTCGTCGTCCCTCTCATTGTCCCTCTCGTTTTCCCTCTCATCGTCCCTCTTGTTGTCCCTGTCGTCGCCCCTCTCGTTGTCCCTGTTGTTGACCCTCTCGTCGTCCCTTTGGTTGTCCCTCTCGTCGTCCCTTTGGTTGTCCCTCTCATTGTCATCGTCCTTATCGTCATTTCCATTGTCGTCGTTCTCGTTGTCCTTCTCATCATCATTCTCATCATCATCATCAGCCAACACATTTCTCCACCCCTCGTCCTCCTCCGCTCCCATCCGCGCCGCCGCCGCCGTCGCCTTTGCTGATCCCGGGTGAGTAATCGCCACATCCTCAGCTGTCGCCATGTGAGGACGCGCCGCTCCCTCCTCTGCTCGCATCGGCGTCGCTCGCTCCTCTGCTCCCATCGGCGCTGCCGTTGCCGTCGCAGTTGCTGATCCCTGGTGAACTATTGCCACGTCATCGGCCGTTGCCATGCGGGGCTTGCTCAATTTGCTCGCTCCCATCATCGCAGCGGGCTGGTTGTTGTTGATGTGACGCGCAGTCGCGGCGCCCGAAGCTGGCTGCGCATTTTCCTTGTGAAACGCCACGTTAGGTTTGTTCAAGTGCTTGTTCGGTGCCGGATATCCCGCCGCGCCTTTGGCTGCGACATTGTTCGGTGCGCCCTTCACATGTTTCAGTGCGACCTTGTTAACCGCGCCCTTGCCTGCGCCCTTTCCTGCCGCGCCCTTGTTCGCCGCGCCCTTTCCTGCCGCGCCCTTGTTCGCCGCGCCCTTGTTCGCCGCGCCCTTGTTCGCCGCGCCCTTGTTCGCCGCGCCCTTGCCTGCCGCGCCCTTGCCTGCCACGCCCTTGCCTGCCGCGCCCTTGCCTGCCGCGCCCTTGCCTGCCGCGCCCTTGCCTGCCGCGCCCTTGCCTGCCGCGCCCTTGCCTGCCGCGCCCTTGCCTGCCGCGCCCTTGCCTGCCGCGCCCTTGCCTGCCGCGCCCTTGCCCGTCGCGCCCTTGCCCGACGTGCCTCCGCCCTTGCCTGCTGCGCCATTGCCCGCCACCATACCGTTGTTCGCCGCACCCTTGCCCGTCGCGTCCTTGCCTGCGGCTCTCTTGCCCGCCGCGCCCTTACCTGCTGCGCCCTTTCCCACCGCGCCCGCGCCCAGGCCATTGTTCGCCGCATCATCAATAACTTCAACATCGTCAACATGATGAGCGGGAGCACGCGGAGGGAGCGACGCGGAACCAGATTTCGCTTTAGACGCGTATTTAGGCGCGCCTGAGTCGGATTCGCTTGATTCGAAATCGTTCGCCGCGCGGACAGCCTTCGGAATCACTGGAGCGGTATTCCCGGTGGCATCGCGGCCATGCGCGGTCTTAGAAGGAGTTGGTTTAATTAGCAGACCACGGCGGCCCGCTGGGGTAGATGGCGCCGCCAGGTGCGCGGAGCACAAGCCCACGAACAGAAGCAGGAGAATGGGTATAATTCGCGGAATCTCCATCGTTCCCGTCCAACGTGAAGTAAGCGCTAAGTCTGGCGCTTTGAACGATATCAGGCGCGGATTGCTGGTACTAGTAGTATTCGTCCACCGTACCACTCCTAGCAAATGAGTTGCCCCCGCGGTGGTTCTGGTGGTGCAGGAGGAAGCAGCGTGGGTTGGTTGTTGTCTGGAAAAGCGAGTTCAGGTTTGTTGGATGTGCTTCGGGAGATTTTGCGCTCCAATTTATTTCCAAATTCCCTTATTTGCGATTCGGCATGGGGCAGTGTCGTGCGAGGCCGACATTGCGACGAAGGCGAACTGCAGAGACGGACTTTGATTGCCGTGCGCGAGACGGGAGGGGGAAATCGGAGCCCTGGATACGGACTTCGCTTACCGTGCTCGAGACTGGGGTCCCAGCGCGAAACGAGGTTACAGACTGACGAAGTCGAGTTACGACATGGTTACAGACTAACCTCCTGAGACATTTGTGTACGGTCTCCCCCAGACGCAAGAAGCCTGAGGCATTTGTGCAGATGTGCCTGAGGTTCAGAGTCATTGATACATACCCGATATGAGCATAGGAAAGGGAGCTGATATTGACGAAATAGAAGATTGTGAGAATTTGTACACCAACTGCTACTGTCAGTATGAAAATATTGGTGTCATGGCTAATGATCTTGCAGTATTGATTCATTTAATTCATTCCGTCATCACCCGGATATAAGACAGTGTTGAATAGAAGACAGGTGTCTATTATCCGGGTGTCTCTTATAAACGGAGTAGCCTTATTATTAGACACCTAATTGTGTGTACGAGTTAGGGTACATTCCTGTGTGGACATTTGTGTCTCAATCCACGTTTTCCCGAGTCGCGTCGAAAAAAATTGTCAATCTCGCGTCACAAAAAATCAATGTATCCCGAAACTAGGCGACCATGCGAAATGCACAGTTGGGCGCATTTGATTGGGTGATAAATATTACTGTACACCCGTTTCTTCAATCGCTTGGCTGGGGTGTGGTTTCGACGCGCGGGATTCTTTCCCGCGCGAAATTTGGCATTTCGGGCAGACCAGGTGCATTGACATTTCGAACCGCATGCGATTTTTTAAAAATGACGGGTCGGTTTAGAATTTGTCGGCGACGTCAGCGCGTTTCACGCTGACCAATAAAAAATACAGTAATGGTCGCTAAAAGGCGATTCGCGTTTGAGACATTTGTCAGAGTGCCACTGGTGATCCCCGATTGATCCTAGGGAAGGGTTACAGGCATGTTGGCCTGGGGGGTTATGGGCGCACTCACCCGCTATATAAACAAGCCCTTTTATCCCAGTGGTTAGTGGCTGGGATTCTGATATGGTATCAGAGCGAAGGTCTCGGGTTCGAATCCCGGTGTGTGCACCTCGGGCATCCCAGTGCGGGGGGGTGTCAGAGGTCCACTGGTGATCCCCGATTGATCCTAGGGAAGGGTTACAGGCACGTCGGCCTGGGGGGTTATGGGCGCACTCACCCGCTATATAAACAAGCCTTTTTATCCCAGTGGTTAGTGGCTGGGATTCTGACAACATTGTACGTTTTATGTCGTTTTAACGCATCACAAACGCTTTGAGACACAAATGTCGACACAGGAATGTACCCTTAAGCTAGTGTAGGGGTTAGGGGCAATTTTATATCGAGGGGGTATCTTCTAAACGGTTCTTTGTCCATTTATAAGACTTATAAGACACCCTAAACCATCCCAAATACAAGAAAACCCAAGCATTTCTTATATCCGGGCGACGACGGTTTGTTGATTTTTTATCTATATGTTTTCAGATCTCAAATTTGCGAGCCCTCCGCAACAGAGCTTCGATCGAAACTCATAACGATATGCAACAGGAGCTGCACCAGAAGCCAGCCACCACTCTAAATTATACCATTCAAAAAAAAACAAGAGGCGACAAAGTCGTCCTAGGGTTGCGAAGCGATTTTCATACACCCTTAGAATTTTATAACTTGCAGTAAATAGCATGAAATTAAATGGAACAATTCTACTTCATTTTCTAAAAATGTGCCAAGTAGGAATCGACCTGGTAACCTTCCGATTACCGGTCGACTTCAGCCGACTGCGCCAGAACTGCAGAGTTAATGTATCGCGTAATTCTGTAGACTTTAAACTTTGCGACGAAATTGGCACATCCTTAGGGTTTGTTCTCTCCTTTCTCTCTTTCGTCTCGCCAGACAAGCTTGGTTCTTCACATACTCCCGCTGGTCATGCCTCATCTACCTACCAGTGGTGAGAATAGCCCTAAGGATTAACTAGAGCTAAGTTTCATGTGGTATCCTAGCAGACTAGCCTAAGCATGGGTGCTGTTAGCGACCCTTAATATAGCTAGATCTATGTTGTTAATATGTAGTTTTTAGAAGCCTCATGCATTAACTTAGCAGCTAGGTCGTTCTTAACCAGCTCGCCTCACTTCTTGGTATGATCGAATTACGTCCTGCCCTTATCTCTGAAATTCGTTTCTTTCCATGTTCACATGCAATTCTTGATTCATACAGCTTTCCTCCCTCCTTCCTTTCTTACCAGCTTAAGCGTCTCTTCTTCAGTTCGCTTCCTTCTTACGCCATCTACTCGTAGCTAGGTGAGTTGCCCGTTCCTTCAAATTCTTCCTTCTTTCCTTTCCTTGGAGGCTTCACTTTTTCCTCTTTAGTTTTTTGTATCTTACCTTTCATTCCATTCCCTTTTCATTTCTTTCCAATCTTGACGTTCTTTCTTCATTTCTTCCGTTTAACATTCCTTACTTTCTTTCCTCTCATTTCTCAAATTTGAATTGGAATGTCCTTCTTTCCTTTCTTGTTAGCATAGGCGCCTCTCCCGTCGCTCACGCCACTCACGCTAATCACACCACGCAGGCTAAAGCTCATATTAAGGTAAGCCGTATTCTCTCTATTCTTAAGCTCGTTCTAGTTGAGAGTGGGTTCTAGTTTAGCTCATTATGGTTGAGAGCTGTTTTTTCTATGTGATGCCTCTATCTGTTTCTCATTTCGTATCCCGTTCTTTCGTTTCCCCGACGAATACCGCGACGACGGAATTCCAGTTAAGTTTCCAAGTTTCTGTTTCTCTTTCTGCTGTCGTCTCTCCCTTCCTCTCGTTTCATCGCGCTACTCTCATCTTCCGCGATTCTTGCTACTCAGCTACTTCCCATAATCCAGTGGTCAAGTATGTACTCTATTTCCGTTTGTACTAGTAGATCTATGTCTATTCACTTTCCTCTTTAGTTCCTCTTTTCTTTGTCTTCCGTTTCCTAGCATTGTCTAGCTAGGTAACAAAGTAGTCCTTGAGAAATCTAGTGTGCTTAGTCGAATAACGGCTTGCATACGTTTTCAACCTACCTCGTTGTTAGTTCGTTCTTTCCTCTGTTATTTCATCCGTGTTGATTCCGTCTGACATCTAAGTCTATAATGACGTCCCTACTGTTTATTCCTTTTCCTTAACTGATTTCCCTATGTTTTGTATGTATCTCCATTCTCTCTTTCTCTCTTACCGTAAGTTATTCTCTTCGTCGCTCGGCCTGTCATTTTACCCGGTTCTCTATTGTTTCGGTTTCCCAATCCATTCGCATGATCTTCTTAAAATCTTTATTTGTTTGTTTTGTACGATCTTGCTGATATGTTAATTCAAACGCTGCAGCATATTGATATCTGGTTTGAGGTGTCAAACATTGCATGTTTATATTATGTAGGCTGTAGTGGGTTACACCTTAGGGGGTACTCAAAGTTAGGGTTTCCTACTTGTACCAAACTCTGTGCTAGTTCATTCCATTCCTGCTCAGTTATTTCTGACATGGTTTCAGAGCAGGTCCTTCGTTAGGACTGTTCTTAGGGCCCACCGACTTACCTACCTGCTTACCTTCGCTTGTTTCCGGCCCCGCTGGCCCCGTCGATCTAGCGGCCCTCCGGCCCCCCCTTCGAATTTTTTCCTAGCGGCCTCTCACGGCCCCCGTCGCGTCGCCCCTTAGCGCCCCGATCGGCCCCGTCACGCCGCCCGCGAACCGCCCACGCGCAGCCCGCGAACCGCCTGCGCAGCCCGCGACCAGCCCGCGCAGCCCGCGCACAGCCCGCGAACTGCCCGCGAGCAGCCCGCGACCTGCCCGCGAACCCCCGCGAGCCGCCCGCGACCCGCTTACGCAGCCCGCGAGCAGCCCGCGCAGCCCGCGCTGAGCCTGCGCGGCTCTTGCGCTGACCGCCGCCGGCCCGCACGCTGCCCGCGCAGCTCACATACGGCCCGCACGGCCCGCGCGCTGCCTGCTCCCGGCCCGCCGCTGCTGAGCCCGCAGCCGCCCGCGCACCGCTGCTGCTGAGCCCGCCGCCGCTCGCGTATCACCGCTGCTGAGCCCGCCCCTGCTGCGCCGGCTCTCGCTGCCGCCTGCTGCGCCTGTGCACCACTGCAGATCCTACTACTACACTTCCTGCTACTGCTGCTTGTGCGCCACTACAGTCCGTAGGCCCCACCGGCCCCGCTGACCCTGCGCACGCCTTTTCAGTGACTTTACTGCTTCTACTACTGCCGCTGTCGCTATGGCTAGTCCTCCTGTTCTAGCTTTCGACGCCGAGGGCCGTCCGGTCAAATTCGAAACCTGGCTAGATGACCTGCACCTTTTCCTACAGCTCACTGCCAAGGAAGATATTACACTGTACGACCACGCTCTCGGCCATGCGACCGCCCCACCCGCTACTGCCCCCCCAGCTGAGCGCTCACAGTGGCAGACCCGTGACGCGCACGCTCGCTTTGCTATTCGCAACTCCCTGCCGCTAGATGAGCGCGAGCACTTCGGCCAGTGCAAGACTGCTAAGGACCTCTACACAGCTGTAGTGGCCCGCTACTCCTCACCCGCTTCTGCCACTCTAGGCCGCCTCACTCTCCCCTACCTGTTCCCCGACCTAGCCTCCTTTCACACTGTCGCAGACCTCATCACCCACCTTAAGACTAGTGAGGCTCGCTTTCGCGCTGCCATGCCTGACGAGTTCCTCGCTAGCAACCCCC